CACACTTGTTCCAATCATAGGAACATTAGAAAAATGTTGCTAAGATCTGTTTTTTAAAAGATGAAACTATACAGGATTACCATATTTTACGCACAAATAATTCTTAGACTTTCCTTCTAGCCCATGTATATGAAGACTTTTATGTTCTAATTTATGTGAAATATTCTAAACCTCCACTTCTCTAAATTTACCTTAGTCAAGTGTTGACTTCATCAGTTCTCTTGGTTTTTTTAATTTGTTTACAAAAATTCTAGCGTGCTCATGTCTTCCTTATTAATTTTGTATTGTTGTCTAGTCACTTACAAGGGTTTATGTTTGTGTATTTGCCAACTAACCTTTCCATGATGCAGTTTAGATGGGGTATTATTAGTTAAAATGTAATATTTCTGTTCTTCCCAAATGCTTTCATAGGCACCAGCTGCTGAAGCATCTGATGATAAGGAAGCCAAGTCCGAGTAATGTTAACCCTGCCCTATATCTCCATCATTTGGTATCCGTACCTCCATGCTGTATTGTTAACAGAGAGGAATATTTTTATCAACTATTTTATAAATGCAGGTTTTTTTAGCATGAATTTAATTATGGAACATCTTCATCTCGGTTACTTGGGAATTAAATCCCTAACAAAACAAAAAAAATCATTGTTTTTAAATTTTGTGATTGTAATAGTTTGTATGGTACATGGAAAGAATAAGTGGTGGTAGCTTTTGACTTCTGTCAGTGTGTCCCTTTTTGTGTAAGTCATGCTTACAGACTTCAGATTTTAATTTTACCCTTGTACGTGTTGTATGGTTTCTTAAAGTGGGGAGGTCTCAAAACAAATAACTGTTAAACATTCCAGTGGTTCTGTGGGTTGCTTTTATAAAGAAGGTGAGATATTTTCATGAAAATCTTAAGAGCTGAAAATCTGCTGTTTCCCAAATGTAATTTTATTTTGTCGGTTTTGAAAAAAAATAAAAGTGTAATCTTGTTTTTAAATGAAATACAAAATTTCTTTTAAAAGGGCAGGTTGGTTGTATGTACCCACTGTTAGGAATTTTGCTGGATTTATCTTAATAAAAAAGACTCCTCAAAAGTTTATTGTGGTTTGTTGCTTGTGCTGTAAACTTGTATTATTGGAATATAGTAAACCACCTAACGGTGGTTAGTAGCACAATGCATCATGTTAAAATAAACCATGCAGCCAGCAGGCCTTTGAGTTCACAACAGGATCAACAGTTGGGTCTGTAAGCCATTTTCTTCAGCAACATACACAAATACCAATATGGGCCAGACCCAAGCAGGTGAAATTGGCAGGGCTAAATTGGTTTCAGTGCACATATATGGATTTACACCATTTGGGAGTCTGGTCCTACATCTTCATTGTAAGGCCTTAAGCCCTCTTTCATGGATTGTAATGCTTAAGGCCTATTTATATTACTACTTAAGCAAAGATGATGTGTTTAAAATATATGGCATAACCATAATAGAAATTATTGGGATTAACCTCCCAAAATGTTAGGGTAACCTATTTATGTTAGATTTGTTAGTCACTTCAATATAGTTTCTTAGTTTCCTCTTGCCCTAAGACCGTTGCATACGTTTTTATGCATAGAGGTTTAAAGGCTATTATGCTTTGATAGTATGAAATGGGTTTCTGTCATTGTTAAGGAAATGTTCTATAGCATTGGTTAAAACGTGCCCTTCCATAATTCTTGTTATATTTCACTTACTTACGAATTTATTACTTTAAAAAGAATTTCAGGAGCCCATTTACTATTTTCTAGTAGGAGGCGCACAGGTATACACAAGTGTTTCCCATTAATGCAGTACTCTTCCTGATTAATTTGGGAGATGGTAACTAGGCTCCAGGCCAGGGTTTAAATGGAGTAATAATAGTTTTCTACCTAATTTTATTCCTGTTATTACAATTATACATTCAAATTGAATATCAAGAATATTCTACATCTTCATCTTAAAGTATTCTTTTTATCCAAAAGTCATTCACATTCATGGCCTGATAGATCAGACATTTACCAAGAAGAAAAATGTTTGTGGTGCAGCATTTAAACATCATCTTTTTGTACAGGACTATCTGGCAACCCTAGAATACAGTGTACATATACGCTGTCAAATAAAACACACCCAAATCAAGTGAGCTTTTTTAGCGCAAGCCTGAAAAAGTTTCAGTTTTGCATTAAGGTTTTGGGTAAGAAGGTGCATCTGAGCCCATAAAGCATTCATCTTGCCATTGATGGTGTTCTATACCCTCCACCTAGGCTTATTTTTATAAGGGTTGAGAAGTGGGGAGAACTTGGTTTTTATTGTCAAATGTGAGAACTGTCTTGTTCCAATTATGTGTCAAACTTTTTTTCCCTTGAAAAGAACCATAAAAATGACAGTCAACCTATTCTTAGGGCCAAATTATAATTGGAAGAATATGGTAGTAACATATGGAGCAGATGACCCTGCCTGGAATGATGCAGCTGGTTCAGTTCATGCAGGAAAGGCCCACAATGGCTGGGGCAAGCCAGATGACCACCACTGTAGTTCCAAGGAATGTCCCTAGTCTGCTGCACTGGAGTAAGAGGCAGACAGACTAGGGAAGCCAGGAGTTCTTAGAGTTTAGTGTCAAGTTGAGTCTTCCAGACCTCCAGCTCTGTTGAAGGGAACTAGGAATCCTTGGGCCCCTAGCTGTGAGGGAGGTACCACTGGAGTCCCCCAACCAGGACACATTCACCATGGTAAGCTGTCAGGAAACGAGAAAGAGCTGGATATACTTCGCAAGTGCAGAAATACAAAAAAAAAGTGTGGGGGCAGGTGCATTAAATGTACATAAGGCTGTTTTTAAACTTTGCTTTGTGCATTCATTATTTGGAAAAACCCAGCGATCCTGACAGTTTCTAGCACTAAGTGAAAAAAGTCTAACATTACATGTAGAATATTACGTTTTATTATTCCAGACCACAAAGTCCCTGAATGTACTTTGCATACACCTGTAGGAGATGTCGAATCTGAGCCAATACCTGCATATAACCAAGTATAAACACAACCACCCATTTTCTCCTTGCCTACATCCCTCAAGAATTAACAAAAATGTGGATTTGATCCCCCACAACAAGGGCTGTTTGGATTCAGTTTTGGCTCCACCTGTCATGTGAAGTTGGAATTCAGCCTACAATTCAGCTTTGGCAGGGCCCATCTTTTTTTAAACCAGTAAGAAGCTTCGATTAAACTAAAAATAGTTGTTTTGATGTGTCAATATTTGTACTGACATGGAGTTTTACACCAAAGACCACATGGTAAGTCTTGGGCGAAATTATCTTTGCTACAGAGGATGCTTTTTTTGTTTAGTGCATTTAACCCTTTGGGTCCTCTCCTTAGTTATTTGATTCTCCTCCAAGATTTTGCATAGACAACAGCAGGCCAAGGACTTCATCAGACTTCTAAAATTATGAGCCAACTGTGCCCTTGTTGTGAAGAAGACTAACAGCATACTGGGCTATATTAGTAGGAGTGTTACCAGCAGATTGAGGGAAGTGATTCCCTTCTATTTGGCACTGATGAGCCACATCTGGAGTCCTGTGTCCAGTTTTGAGCCTTCTACTACAGAAAGGATTTGGACAAATTGGAGAGAATTCAGTGGAGGGCAACAAAAATGGTTAGGGGGGCAGTGAACAGTATTTTTGAGGAAAGGCTGAGGGAACTGGACTTATTTAGCCTGGAGAAGAGAGAAGACTGAGGATTTAATAACAGCCTTCAAATACCTGAAGGGTGGTTCCAAAGAGGATGGAGCTAGACAGTTCTCAGTGGAGGCAGATGACAGAACAAGGAGCAGTGGTCTCAAGTTGCATCAAGGAAAGTTTAGATATTAGTTTGGATATTAGGAAAACCTTTCCCACTGGGAGGGTAGTAATAAAGCACTAGAACAGGTTATTCAAAAAGGCTGTGGAGTCTCCATCCTTGGAGGTTTTTAAGACCCAGCTACACAGAGCCTTGGCTGGGATGGTATAGTTGAGGTTTGTCCTGCTTTGAGCAGGGGTTTGCACTAGATAACTTGCTTAATGTCTCTTTCAACATTAATTTGATTCTGTGATTTATAGTTATTGACTTACATTTGTAAAAAGAGCTATTTTTACTAAAATTGAATTTGACAACATGGAGTTGACTTACATGCAGGTTTGATTTATAAGCAAAAAAATACAAGGCATTTAAACAAGGTATTTTTCTTTGTAGGTATGTGCAAGTAAGTTGCCAAATTCTTACTTGCATCTTTACCTGGCACTTACTAAAAAAAAATCTATTTGTTATGTTACGTGCGAGTTGTAGAACTTTTTGGCACTCCCACCAAAATGTAAGCAATTCAAATTGGTACGGGCAGGGAGAGGGACTGCAAGAAATTGTGCTTGTGTCCTTGCCTTTTAATGATGTATAAAGAATTTGGCAATGGTTTGAAGAATAATTTTGTTTGGGTTTTTTTTAAAGATCTTTGTCTTTTGTGCTTTATATATTTCATTCAGCCTAGTAAGACCTTGAATCATCAAAGAACAAGTGAGATTTTGATATTGGGAATTTCTAATATTTGTAAAGGATAAAAAGGAATAAAACCTATTTTAAAATAAATAATAATGCTTTTTGGTTACTTTCTAATGCAGTAAACTAAGACAAATAGCCACCCCCTATTTATTTTTGCTATCAGGTTGTTTTTTTAAAAAAAGAGTGGTTTTCAAACTGTCCAGAATCCTGGGGTTCCATGATGGGTCATTAGGGATTCTGCAATTGCAGGGTAATACAGTGTGTTGGCAGACAGTATGCCGCCATTGCCAAGCCTGAATCCACAACAGTCTTTAGGATAGGGATAGGGGTTCCCTGGCAGAAGAAGTGACATGAAAGATTTACATAACTTCAGGAATTTTGAAAATCACTGGTCCACACCACAAACAAAACTGAAATTGTACCTCTGTAAGTCCATTAAAACTCTAGAATATCCAGTATTTTAACTTATTTATTGTTAGTGGGATAGCGTTGCTCAAAAGAGCTTGGTAAGTAATTAAGAAGTTAACTTTTCCTCAGGGAGCTATCCAGTTGTATTGTAGAGGTGACTTAAAAGGAAGTGCCCAGTTCCTAAAAGGCCACTGAGTTTCAAAAGGGGTATTTGAAATATTCCCAGGTCCTCTTCCTTTACTAGCAAGTTACTATCTCTCTAAATTATACTATTAGAATCATTTAGTAAATCATTCAAATGTCTTAAGACCTGATCTTCCCTTGCCACGGAAAAACTCGCAGGAGCAAGAGAATTCTAAAAATGTACCTCTCACTACAGCTGCTCCAACATTGTCTCTAAGCGTATGCTTACAGCCTATATCCATGGAAGCACATCCAAAGGTTTGGTAGTGCATAGCATTTAAAAACATGGTATTTCAGAGTTATCAAACATCCCTCAACAAAAGAAGCAGCGTCATCACCAGTACTCAGGCCTACGTGGTATAAAACACTTGCCTCCTACCATTCTTTTTCACTTGACAAAAATTAGCAGCTATTTTCTTACCTTTCTATCACTGCCTACTCAAAAACATTGGCTTTGTAGAGTGCCTAAAAAACAATGTGTTTGGGCTGTTTTGGAACAAGTGGATAGAGAAGTATTGTAAAGAAAATACCCCTTAGAGAGAGCTCACTTGCTTGGTTCAGTTAGTCATAGAATCATAGAAAGTTAGGGTTGAAAGGGACCTCAGGGAGGTCATTTAGTTCAACCCCCTGCTCAAAGCAGGACCATCCCAAATCGATCATCCCAGCCAAAGCTTTGTCTAACCAGGTTTTGAAAACCCTCAAAGATGGAGCTTTCACCACCTTTTTGGGTAACCTGTTCCTGTGTTTTACTACCCTCCTAGTGAGAAAATTCTTCCTAATATCTAACCTAACTTCCCTTGCTGCAACTTGAAACCATTGCTGCTTGTTCTGTCATCTGCTACCACTGAGAATAGCCTACCTTCATCCTCTTTCAAACCCCACTTCCAGTAGTTGAAGACTCCTATTAAGTCACCTTTCAGTCTCCCCTTCTCTAGACTAAATAAACAGTTCCCCCAGTCTTTCCTCATAAGTCATGTCCCCCAGCCCCCTCACCGTTTTTTATCACCCTTCACAGGACTCTCCAATTTGTCCACATCCTTTTTGTAGGACCTGAGGGTGCACTCTATGCCATCTTTCAGGTCATTGAGGAAGACATTGAACAAAACTGG